TGTGCAATTGTTCTGATTTTTAGTGGCTCCATCTATGGACAAGAATTCAACTTTTATCGCACCCATTTTTTAGAGCAGACCCATTTCCACATCCATTCATTCATCCACAAATCGTAATTTCGACCTGAACCAGAGAACGATCAACCTCGAGTTCAGTACTCCCCAGAAGTATAATTTGTTATGGGAACAGGGAGGACTTTGTAACCAAACAAATTTAACATGTGCGAGTCACCATTTACTGCACGGAAGTTTTCGGCCAGTTAGATTCGAACTCCCATTCTCGCGAATGTGAATCGAGTGCCCTGTCAACCAGGCAATCCCGGCTCCTTAAGATGTCTTATATTGCAGTCATTAAATATCATTCACCGAAATTAATGATGAATGCTTAGGTGTAAATAGTTCTTCTAGTTTATGAGTTTCTACAATATTTCAGCTTTTCTTATCCATTGATCTGTATCATTAGAGAATGTTTATAAGTAAAATAGCTTTACTAGTTAATTAACCTATAACATCACAGCCGTCTCATCATAACGGGTGTTTAGATATAAATATGTTTACTAACTTGATATTGCAGCCATCTCAAAATTTTTGTGGTAGAAAATAATGAATAAAGAAAAATAAATAGATTTTGTTTCAATTTAGTCGAGGCAGAGAATTAATGAGTTTTACATTTGTATTGAAATAAAACGTCAGCCGTTAGATTGATTGTTAAGCCGATACATTGATGATAAAATATATGCATAAACTTTTTATAAAATGCAAAAAAATTAAATAATTGGTTTAATTTAATTAATATAAGATTAAGAATGATTAAAAAATTAAATTTATGAAATTAAGGAAATTTTTAAAAGCTAGGAACTATGTAATGTTTATTATGGCATTACACATACCATGCACTGATATCATTATTGAATGTTTAGATGTAAATTGTTTAATTAATTTGGGTTTTGATAAAAATGTAGCTATTCAATTCCCTTGACCGGTATCATTGACGAATGTTTAGCTGTAAATACTTTTGCAAGTTTTAGTATTATAATATCGCAGCTATCCCATGCTATTGATTAGTATTATTAGCGGATGTTGAGATGTAAATAGTTTAAATAATCAAAAGATTGAAAATTACTCCTGACTATCACTACTGAAAAATGCTCAGATATAAAAAGGTATACTATTTTTCGATTTATATTTCAGCTATCCCATAGCTGTGTTCAAAAGAATTAGATATAAAAACTGAAACACATAAATATCTCATATGGATCAGATAGCATATTTATCATATAGCTATTGATAGAAAAATGAGTTAGTATTTATTTATTGAAGAATTTAAAAATTAGACTTCTTTGTTACATATGTAAACAAAGATTATAATTTTAAACGCTCTCTTAATTGACAATTATTAACTTGATTTCCGCTTTAAATAAAATGAGCGAAATACTATCAATCTGCTGCTATTGATTTTTGATATAAATGGTAGAGAACACTTATTGAAACATGGGAATCAAAGGCAACATTAGGAGAGAATTGGAGTTTTCTGACACGCATATAGTATATATATTAAGGAAACACATCTTGTTAAGATTGTCAACATGTCAGACAAGTTCAAACATGTCAGATCTTGACGGGAAAGTGAGCCAATGCTTTCCGTTCCCCCGTCTTGTGTTTTTCAAAACTATTTCAGCACTCACAATATTTCCATTTTCTCCGATTATTGCTTCGCTTTTATAATGATTGCAAAGTGGAATGCGGTATCTCTTTTAAGACGAATAGGGCAGCACATGTTTTTTCTCTATTCGTTTTTTCCCCCAACTTCTACCTTTTTTCCTATTATTGGATAGAATTTCTATAAAATTTTTGATCAACGCTATTTTATTTATTTATTATTATTATTTGCTTTTACATTCTCTAGCATGCTCTAGGAAGGCATTGTACGAACTATTTTCTCAATTACAACATATTACAACATTAACTTACATGCATGCAGTTTACGTTATTGTATTTCCCCTTCTTGTTGCTTTAAATTGATTTAAACGAAATGGTTTACTATTGGGTGACAAAATAAGTCTACAAACACTACAAGTTTTTAAGTTTAACTGAATATAAAAGATTATTAGATAAGCTTCATTTAAATACACTCATAGACAAAAAAATTAACACACCAAGAAGGAGTCGTCGAAATGAAACGAAATTTTACATACGTAAAGACTACTTTGATATATGTAAATGATTAGAAAATCAAAGAAAAACGATAATCTTTATTTTTTAATCATTTACTTATATCAAGTTAGTCATTACGTATGTAAAAGTTTATTTCATTTTGACGACTCCTTCTTGGTGTGTTAATTTTTTTGTCCATGAGTGTATATGCTGCAAAAAAAGTAAAATCCTCCCTCTCAATGATTTTGAATTATGTTTAGTGTACTGTTCCATAAAGCACGAAACATCATTATGAAGTGCAATCTAAGTAAAGGAACGTAAAATGTGATGAAATTTGAGATATGTTTCTGAAATGCAATCTTGTAATAGTTTCATTTTAGTTGACAAAATGTTGACAAGTTTTATAAAACGTTTTTATATCGTATTAAGGCAAAATAAATAACAATTCTGAAACGTAATTCAGGTGCTTTTTGGTGCAGTAGTGTGTAGCCTAAAACAAAATAAAATTTTACGAATTGAATTAAGCGTTTAAATTCTTATATTTTTTAACTGTAGTGATAATGAGAGCAGTGGTGGCTCAGAGGATAGAGCACTCGCCTCCCAATGAATACCCCGGATTCGAATCCCAGCGATGGCTGATCGATACGAATTCCGCACCCGGCTCACCCCGATCGTAGTGCTGACATGGAATATCTTCGGTGTTAGACCGATCACTGATTAAAGTCCCTTTTTCATCAGGCTAATCAAGGAAGGTTTTCATAGTTTTCCTCTCCGTGTAACGCAAGTAGGGCTTAGTTTCATCAAAAAGTTTTTCACGACGACAAATTTCTTTTAATACTTGATTTAAGATAGTTACCTTGTCTTCTGGATTTGACTCAAAATTACAGAGCTACGAAGTTGATCGTTGGTAGTCGTAAATTCAAAATTGTTTCGGATGCTCAATTGCATTTATAAAATATGAAATTAAATATTGTAAAGTCATATTAAATAGCACACTTTATAATTTTTTAAGGAAACGTTTATTATACAACTATTTATAAGTCTAAATAATATATTTAATAATATAGGAAAAATTTTATGCAGAAAGAATAGAAAAATAGTTTTTTTTGCATATACATAGCGTTATATTGACCTACAACCTTTCATTCATCTGGGGAATTCCAATATTAAACTGAAATATAAAAGATGAGTTGAGCTTTTGCAATGAAATATTCTCTACTTGAAATAATACGGACAAGAAATGAAAAGATATCTGCAGTAATCGGATTGAGCAGTCTTAAAACTATTTCCCCTCAAAGGATCAATGACTATTTCAGCTTTGTATCCTCACCAGAGTTTATCATCTGTTTGAATCTTGTTATCCACCAACTCCTCACAATCCTTCTTTGAACAGATCTTGTTAAACTTTGCACAAAGATATTTTTATATTTGATGTCATTATTTGAGCTACACAAAATCAAATCATGTGTCGGAGTTTAAAGTTAAGGACTTAGCCATAATCTTTCCCAAATAAGCCCCTTTGCGTAAATGTTACAGTTCATTCGAGGATTTCTAAAAGTTTGAAGTTAGGAACTTAATTGGCGGTTTCTCTTTCAAAAAGTATAATTTCCCCTTTCAGATGTAATTGTAAACATGCTTTCTTTCAATTCACAGTGGAATTATTTATTTATCCGCCCTGCTACCCGCAAATTATGTAAAGAATTATGATGTTTAAAATATAGTTCTTACTCAATTTTAATACTTAAAGTGAAACAAAAAATTATTTCTGAAAAATAAAAAAAAAATTATTTACATTTGTCCAGTGATTTGTGACATATTTATGAAAAATTAACTTATGCGTTGTCTTTTTTTTCTGTTTTATATGCAAAAATAATTTTTATGCTTGCATGTATAAAAGGTAGTGATTTAAATTAATGTTAATTATTTTATCGTTTCTTACTTAATTATACTTTTTAGTAACATAACTTGAATTTATTTACCTTTATTTCTCTTTTGAATTTTAGGATATTTTATTGCTCTGTTTTATTAAAAAAATGTAGCAATGATTTCTCTTTTGTTGCGTGCATAAATTTTTACAGCAATTTTAAAAGTTATTTGTTAACGGGAGGAGAAGATTTAAACTGTTAACAAGTGACATAAGGTTAACGTCACCCATATAAATTTTTATTTTACGTCATACGGCTTTTTTATATATATTTTTTATGCAAAATTAGAATTAGAATGTTATTTTTTTTAACTCTTAATCAGTTATTCGTACTTTTAAGCAACACATCTTAGACAAAGATTTCCTTAAAATTTACTTTTCCGAATTTTTTTTTCAGTTAGCGCAGCAGTGCTTCAACAATTTTCTATATTAAAAGATAAAGAAAATATTCGTTTAAAATTTAGTTGAGATTCAAAATCAACCACGTAAATTATTATTATATATTTCTTTAGTTTCCATTATGTACTTCCTTAATATTGGGTTGAGGTATTTTAATCCAATATTATGGAGGTACATATTAAAAAATAATTTAGTTAGCTGTTATAATTTTTTACACAAATTGCATTAAAGAGGTAGTAATTAAATCACAACATCTTTTCTTAATTAAAAATTAATATTTTAACGAAAATATGACATATTGAAGTAGAACATTTAAATTAATGACATTGATTGCAAGTAACTTAACTCACGTATTTTAATTTTCCAAGGGAAAATATTTTCATTTTATTAAACAAATACTCACATATGGTATAGAATACCACAGGATTAAACCAGATGTGTTAAAAAAAAACATCACATACATTCAGTCCAGATAGATTAAATGCATTGATTGAGATGTCTATAAAAGAAAAATTCTCCTTACCTGTACTAATTGGAAGAACTGTGAGGACTTGGCTATGGGATCTGTGACAGCGGTACAGGCGGCACCGAAAAGGATTACTTTATGAGGTTTCTGATGAAGCATGTCAAAAAAGGCTTTCATTCCCACCGCTGCATCACACTGCAATTAACGAAAAAGTAACACATTAATTCTGAAAAATGACAATAAACAATACGTTCAAGAACACATCACGTAGAAACTTGAGATTCCTAAACTTGTTTTTGAAATACACGTCAACAATTATTTTTGTGCTATATAACTAATTATAACAGTGCTTATAAACTTCAAAATAAAGTTCTTAAACATGTTTTTCAAATAAATAGCAACAGTAATTATTGCGCACTGCGAGAAAAAATATGGTCTAAATGAACGAAATGTAGTCAAAAGAATATGGTAGAATTTACCGTGTTTCTAACTCTAGGGAAACATCAGAAAGCTCTAATTTTTATCGATGCGCTATGATAATGAATATGATAATGCTTTAATAGGCGTTGAAATTTGATAATTTTATTACTAAATCTTATAGCATGGCATGAAAACTACTTGTTCGATTAAATGTACTATTCTGTTTTGTAATTTTAGTAAATATGTGGTAACAAGGAATATAATTTTAAGCCGGCCAGATGGCCTAGAGGTTAGGGTGCCTGAGTGCGAAGCCAATGGCTGCGGATTGGAATTCCGCTCAGGGCAAAGCTCTCTCTATGTTGTCCTCTGTTGTTGTGCGTGATGTGGGAATGTGGCCCAACCTATGAACGATTATCTGTAGCACTGTGGCGTGGGTAATGTTGCTCGCCAGGCAACGCAAAACTAGCAACACCTCCAGCAACTTAAATGGCGAAGAATGATAAGTTCAGTACCTTGTTGTTGTTGTTGTTGCAGTTCATGAACGTCACACTAGAGCTGCACAATGGGCTATTGGCGACAGTCTGGGATACATCCCTAACGCTGATCCGAAGATATGACACCACAGTTTTGGTACTCTGCAGAGGGGATGGCACCCCTTCTTCGGTAGCCCGACTACCTGCGTGCAAAATCGAGCCCTTTACGGTGGAACAGTTTACCGAGGATCACTACCGCATACTCTCGGTCCCTACACAGGCCAAGTGGTCACCCTCCCGCACATTGACAGCAGCCACTGATGCTCGACTTCGGTGATCTACCGAGAACCGTGTCTTAACGACCAGTCTGCTGCGGAACAAGTTCAGTACCTGCCGTTAAAATAAAAATAATAATTTAGAAAATCAGAACTTCCAGTAAAACCGTTACCCAACGAATGGTTTAAATACCATATATTTCGGCTTTACTATCAAAATTATGGGCCTTTTTAACTAGAAATGCCTTTACCGTATAGTAATTTTACCAGAATTTTTTTCCCCGTGTATATTGAAGCAATTAAAGCATTTTTATGCAATGCTTGCCAATGAATGATAGGACTGTATTTTCGCGACAACATAGCCAAACATAGATTAGATATTTTCCGCAAAATATTTATTTTCATGGTTTAACTATGATTTCCTCTATCCATATATTTCGTCAACAATAATCATTGTAAGAAATCATTTTTGAAAAGGCTAAACTTAACGCTTTTCTCATAAAATGAATTTTATTTAACGGGATGCACAGAAATTTTATTTCGAAAGAACAATCCTTATTTAAATTGGGTGCATTAATTCCAATATGAATTAAAATCTGCTGTGTGAAACCACATTTACAACACTTCATTGCATAAAACGTAATTTCAGATCTGGTGTAAAGAAATCTGAAAGGGGAATTAAGTTTTTGCCGTCAATAGTGCATTTAAATTAAGATAATATTAAATTTCGAAAAAATATTTCTCTTGCCTTAATGTAGCACCGAAAAGTATGCGTAACAATTTAGAAACAAATTTTAACAGAATTAAGATCTTTAAACCACTTAATAATATTTCACCAACCTGAAAAGTTTTAAATGAGAAACATTTAATCAAGAAAATCCATAAAGAAAATAGATTGAAAAATCTTTTCCAAATACGTTGTAACGTTAAGTAATTTTAACGTAATAAAATGAAAAAAAAACAAGAGAAATTGAACGTATAATGCATGAGGATGAAAGAAGCAACAGTAAGAATATGAAATATTTTAGAATAAAATGCTACTTAATAAAAATTGGATGCATAACACAGCATGTAGACAAACGATTGGCGATCAATTTTCTTTTTACGTTTAATCCTTCACTTATGTATTTTCTGTTTTATTAGTAAATCTTTTCAGTCTGGACAATGCTTCTTTTTTTATTGATTCAAATTGGAGACTTTTTTGATATCTTGATTAGGTACTTAATAGTTGATTGCTGCTTTTAAATAGGAATTTTTAAAAATGGCATATATAGTTCAATTGGTTTCTGAACAATGTATGAGCAATAATTTTATGTTTTATTCCTCAGTACTTCATTAAAGTACTATTCAAGTCGATAATTTGGCCGTCTATCGAGGATCAGATCGGCATTTCATTTTTACGGAAGTTATGTTCTCTATGGTGCCAGTTCCTGTGCTGTAACCTGATATCAGTTCTCAGAGCCGTAAGCTAGAAGTCCCGCCAGTCAATATAAGCTGAAAGCTGATCCCTGTGCATGATGAGGAAGCAGTGGGGATTTCCCGGAGAGCGTGTTTGACAACGAACCGAAAAAGACGTGATGAGATGCACTCCAAAGAGGAGTCATGATTATACAAAACTTTTAAAGACGTTCCTTACTTATTATTATTTTTTTGTTATTTAATCGTTAATTGTTAATCGTCCGTCCCTATGTAAATTTAATCTTCAATATATATGTTTTTGTTTAAGAACGTGTCTTTTATTTAAGACGACCACTCATGCCGTCCCCACATATATATATATTACTAGTGCAATATATTATTGAATTTCTATTGATTATTTAACTTCTTTTAACTAAATTGTATAGTTAAGATAAATATAATTTATAATTTTAAAGTAGTGAAAATATATTTAGTTATGGGACTAGTGCAATTAGACAACCATAATATTAAACAAAAACAAATAAAATTCTTTTTTTATTGAGCGAATCAATTGTAAAATCACACGATTCATTTCTAAATTTCATCAATACATTTCTTCGAATTCGCATTCCATGAATGTTTTCTATTCAAAGGTAGGCTTATATATAAACAGAAAACAACATTTAACATCTAT